CCCAAATCAGAGTCCCCTTTGTGACCAGATATTCCCCAATTAAAGATATTAATATGTTAATGTACATCTTTAAAGCGGTTTGCCTCCATTGTCTTCTGGAATTTAATTTTTATATAAAGGAGAATTTAGAGTTGTTTTGGCATTTTCCCTTCTCTTATTTCATCTTATCCCAAAATACTTGTAGAATGGCTTATTTATCATTGCTATTTAAAAATCCTTAGGGTATTACTATGCATGGATTTCTTTGTATTTTTTGGCAGCATAATTTTTCCGTTTGCATATCCAAATTTTGTTTTAATTCCAAAAATATTTTCTTAAGTTGTCTAAAATGATCTATATATGTATAATTCCAATTTCTATAATAAAAATACCTGTATCTGTAATTCTAAGGTCTGGTATTCAGTCTCCAACATCCTCCTTTGAATATTATGTCTTTTTCATTATTCTTGCCTTCTAGAAGAATTTTTCCTTTGTTCTATATTTTACCAATCTAATATTCTGCTATTCATGTTTTGGTAGTTTTTGGCTTTTTTCTAGTACAGTCTTTGGTTCTGCTCTTCAACTTTCAATTCCTGCCATAATTAATCTTTCTTTGCTTATATGTTTATATCCTATTGCTTTTTTAGGGCTTTGGTTCCTGTGTTATGAAGTTCAAATCTTTTATGTTATGAGGATTACTAAAATCCTAAGATAGAGAGCATGCAAGTGGGGTGGAGGGAAGGAGGGCAAAGGGAGAAAGAGAATCTTAAGCAGCCTCCACTCCCAGCATAGAACACAATGAGGCACTTGATCTCGAAACCCTGATATCGTGACCTGACCCAAAACCAAGAGTTAAAAAATTTAACCAACTGAGCCACCCAGGAAGCCCAAAAGATTAATTTTTAATGAGCCTACCAAATAAGACTTATCTCAGAAATATAAATATGGGTCAGTAGCAGAAAATGTGTCAAAGTATGTCATGATCTTAACAAAGCAAAGCTTAGAATGTTCAAGAAACATCTAGGGAGGCCAGATGGTTAGAGTGGTTGAGTTCTGGGGGAAAAGAGTAGGAAAAGAGATAAGAGAAGTAATGGGGAAGGAACAGATTATGAAAAGTCTTGCAGGAGATTGTAAAGATTTTGATTTTTACATCAAGTACCATGGCAAGTCTTTGCAATTTTTTTGAGTAGGGCAAGTGACATTATCTGACATATTTTAAAAGACTCAGTCTGCTCTCTGTTAGAAGATATTTTAGGGATTGAAGATTGGGAGCAGAAAGATGATCATTATGATACATTTTTTAATACTACTGAGATCTTTTACTAATATCTTATATACTATTTTTTCTGTCCACTTTCATGACTAAGATTAGTTTATATGGTTTTCTAGTGCTGTCCTTTACTAGTTTTTGTCTCATGATTAAGCAAATTATCACAGATTAGGTGAGTATTAAGCTGGATCCAATGTCCTTTTGACATGGCTTCATCACAGCTGAACACTTTACTTTCTTGTACTTTGAGATGGTCTAGAATTAAAATTCCCACAGACCTGGAAACAGCAGTTTCTTCAAGAAACCTAATTCTTATTTGTCAAGAATGGTACTTAGAAACCAGCATTTGGGCATTGAGTTATTTTGTATTTTTGAATCTGTTTTTGTCATTTAAATTCCTTCCAAGAAACATACTTTTATAGCTAAATTTTCAAATTTATTGGCAAAATTGTGTTTATTTTAAGGAGTTCTTTTATGTTTTAAAAAAGTCTCTTTTGTACTTCTATTCCTAAATAGTCTTGGTTTTACCCTTAAGGATAATATACTCATATAAACAGATTTGAGTTTTGAACAATTCTTTCTTGGGGGGTAGTTTGCATTTGTTTTCAGTCTCACTAATTTTTGTCTTAATTTTAACTTTTTCTTTTCAATTTCCTTCAAGGCAGTCACATTGATCTTCAATATTCTTGATTAAATCGTACCATGCTCCATATTCTCTTACAGATCGCCAGGTAATTCCTGTGTACTGTGAAGTTTGGGAACCACTGGGATAGGATATTCATTTATTTGGTTACTCAATCTCTGTCCCTTGTTAAATATAAAAACAAATTAACACTTTTGACTTGTCTTTCTTAAATATTATTTCTTTTAATGCATGCTAAAATCTAATATTTCTTAAAAATGCTGCCTGATAATGGCCTTTCAGGAAACTCCAGATCTCTTCTCGGCCTTTTGGCTAAAATCAAGTGTAGGAAAGTCCGGAGTTGTGCATTTCGTCCATATCTGTGAAATGAAAGCAACAAGTACTGTAGAAAGAGGTTGTGTGTTTATGAGACTAAAGAACCTTAGTTTAAACTAAGAAATGATCAGAATGAAAGAAAATTTTTAAAATCTAAATTGATAATGAATAAACCTGTAATCATTGCTTTTTGAAAATTAATTTAATTACAACAGGGTACTGCTTCTATGAAAGAAGAGTTGTTTTGGTGGGGGAAGAGGACAGATGCATCCTCCTAACATTGAGCCCAGATAAATGAGAATTCACCAGCAAATAAAATTCATCACAGTCCTATGCCACGTTCCTTTTTGCGTTCCTGATCTTTCCTACTTCTTCTCTCTCCCAATCTCTCCCTTCCCCCTCCTTACTTCATTATATTTGCAAATTCTTGCCATTTGGAACAGTTTTTAAGGCAATGGAAAAGTGATGCTTGAGAGGTGAAACGCAATCACAAGCTGGCCTGGAATCAATCGATAGGGAGAGTTCTTGACAGCACTCACCAGCTGATTCCCAGCTGTGCTTGGGATACCGCTGCTGAGCAGCCGTCCTAGCAATTTGGGTCCACTCATGGTAATTGGTTTCAGATGATTCCAGAACAACTCATTTTACACTGTCCTCTTCCCAGAGCCCGAGGAATTGGAGGGCGTAGTGTAACATGTTCAAGGCAAAATCCCAGCTTCGTGGAAATCCCATCACTTAAATTCTAGTCTGAATTGGATCTCATTGTGTCTTGGTAGTCCCTGTGTGGTGAGAAGGATTATTATAATGTTATTTCAGTGGTTAGTTGTGTTCACCCCGATGCTCTCGCTATGACCCTTCTATTTTTCTCAGAATATCTTGCTTTACAAACACTAAATGTGTCCCTAGTCATGTAATTAAGGAAAATGTTAGTGATCATATTCCTAATGTGGAAAAGAAATAGTGGGTACAATTTTACCTTGTTCTCGCTAAATGCCTCCCCTTTTTAAATTTGAAGTTTCAAATAAAACAAAAATGCTTTCAGCATATATTCCTCTCATTTCTTCTTTCCTCTGATAAAAGGATATAAATAAAATTTCAGAATTTCTTTAGTAAAGAAATTAAGTCCATCCAGTTGCTCATTTCATAAACTGTGATGCTATTTTCAGCTCCAAGTAAAATAAAAAGATGTCCAGTAATAGTGATTTAAACAATGAGGACCTATTAGCTAACATAAGAAGAAGTCTGGAAGCAAAGTGTTTCCAGGGTTAGTTCAGAAGCTGAAGAATGTTACAAAGGACCCAGGTGTTTAGCAGCGCAATCGAACTCCCACTTCTACCATCCTCACTGTCACAGTGGGTGAGGGATGTCTGCACTCATGGTGACAAGATGGTTTCATTAGAGTCAAGCATCACATCTTCAGAAAATACTATTAGTGGTGTTCTGGTCAATGTTTAATGACCCACTCTCTAGAAAACAAAGACAAACAAAAAAAATTCTAATTTGTAGCATTTGATGATTTCCATCTTGTGAATTTTCCCAGCGCTGGGCAACTTCAAGGTCCTATATGGTGTCATCGAGTGCAGCATATAGAAGTAGCAATCATGAACCAGTGTGTGCTGGCTCCAGTATACCACTAGATGATATCCAGAGTCGGGCAGAATCTTTTTAATAATATCTAGAGAGGGAAAGCTTTCCCAGAAATCCTTAAACAGCCTTATGTCTCATTGGTCTGGCTTGCCTCTAATGCCTACCCTTAAGCTAACCACTGTCAAGGGGCCTAAAATGATCATGATTGCTTTGAAAGAAAGCTTTGAAAACTACATTTACTCCTGGCAGCAGGGTGACTTTCTTAAGCCTATAAGAGAGTACATACCTCCGAAATATTGAAGCAGTCTAGCAACTAGGAAGGGGATGAGAATGCCTGGTGTTTGGGCAAATAATAGCGTCTGCCAAAAGGACAAAGCCAGACATACCGTGTTCTTACGCACAAACACACTTGAGGAGGAGGGTAGAAATGTAAGGATATACAATTTTTATTCTACTTCCAGCATCTTTTTATGAGTCTACTGCAAAAACACACACACATCATTTGGATGTGTCATCTTTTTGTTTGGGCAACTCCTGGAGCCTTGTCATGGTGAAACATCAAAGTGGAAGGAGGTTCCTAGCTGAGTTGGCTTGAGGGCTCTTAGAGAGCACTTCAAACACTGTGAATGGTTGGGAACAGCTAAAATCCCCCTAGAAAAACATCATCTCTTGTAAGAAACATGACCCTAAACAAGGTTAATATATTTTTGAACTTGAGCACTTTATTATCTGCTGTTCTCTAGCACCTTTCTAAAGTGTGCTAATCATTTCTATCAATTGAGATGTTTCCTTTTGCTTAAAAGAATGAAGTCTTCCTCAGAGATGTGCATAGCTGAAGCTAACGACGCCAGCGAGGAATGGTTAAGAAGGGCTTGGGCAGACAAAAATACTGTATTTCCTTGAGGTCAAAAGAAAAGAAGCATGTTTGTTCCTTTTGATTAATGGATAGTAATTCAAGTCTTTCTTTCCATTATAGTATTTTCCAGTGTCTTCTTTTAGTATTTTTATTTAAAGAAGATGTCAGCTCTTTTTTTTTTTTTAAGGTTCACTTCTCTTATTTATCCTTCATATTCCTTCTTTAGCAGTACTACCCTCCCCCAATATACTCGTACCACCTTACTTATGAACCTACATCTTTTTTTTTTTTCCTGTTTCTACAGAAGCTAGATTTTAGATTTTGTTGTTGTTGTTGTTCCATTTGCCATTGTTAACTGTTCTTTTTCTTATTGACAATGCAGAGGTGACATTAGCTCTTCAAAATTCTGTTCCCATTGTTATGAGGGGTTAGTAACCCTGCTGGTTCCAATTTTAGGCTAACAAATCAAGATACAGGAAGCCTTGACAAATTGAGGAGCTGATTCTCTAAGGTGGGACCAGCACAATGTTGTAATACAGGAAGAACTCTTAATGTCTTTGTAATGGTAATGACTATGTGTTGCCACACAAGTTAGTAATATTACATTGGTGTTGGTCTACAGTATTTTACATGGTTTAACCTATGCTATAGTAAGCAATTCAACATTAACATTTGTCACATGTGCTGTCTTAAAAAAATGTTTTCTTTTTCTCTCTTTATTTTAGAGAGGAGTGGTAATCAGTTTGCTCTCTTCTGGTGGAGAACTTCTCAAGGTGAAGTATATTTTGATTTTAAATGCATACTTAGATTTAAAAAAAAAAGAAATGTGGAGTAGATGTAAGGAAGCAACCCTTTGAGGTTGATAAACCTCCAAGAATGAGTGAATTTATCAAACTTGGAAATATTTGGAAAAGAAAAGAGATGCTTTGCCCACAGTATCTTGGCAGTGCCTTGTCCAAAGTACAGAAAGTATGCTGAAGACCTAGTGTCTCCTTCTAGGTTTGTGTCTATTCAATGATACAAATTTACTGGATAGATCTGTCTTCTCACTGGGGTCTAAAAAAAGTGATTCCTTCACCATGGGCACTTTATGAATATTTGGGTACCAGATAGTCATTTTGAAAGATGTGGTTTTCTTTGACCAGTTGTTCAAGCATTCCATGGACACATACGATGAGAAAATAATCTAGTATTTATACTTCACATAAAATAATGATACTTTTTTCCTGATGTCAAATTTAGAAGGAATACATTTCAAAACGGTTTCATATACATGATAGCTGTTCCTTTGTACACTAACACCTAGAGCTGTTGTATTTAGATTCCTTGCTTCACTACTTACCTACACAGAAATTTTAAATTTGAGGAGTATTTTTCAAGTTGGTGCTTCCCAATACCAAAATGTCTTTTAATGAAAGATAGATAGTTTAGTTATTACATTATTAGAGTAATTTAAAAATTTAAATTTGCTATCTGCTTTGCTCCCATGGTCACAAAGGTGAAATAAAGAACAAGCAAAAATTACTGAGAAACAAATAAAATTTACAATTCAACTGTTTTTTTTTTTTTAAGATTATATTTATTTATTTGATAGACAGAGATCACAAGTAGGCAGAGAGGTAGGCAGAGAGAGAGGAAGAAGCAGGTTCCCCACTGAGCAGAAAGCCCCGTGTGGGGCTTGATCCCAGGACCCTGGGATTGTGACTTGAGCCAAAGGCAGAGGCTTTAACCCACTGAGCCACCCAGGCGCTCCCAATTCAACTCTTTTAAGCAACATTTCTCCTTCTGTTTTATAAGAACTGCATGTGGTTACTGCAGATTCCTGCTTAATCAAATTTTGATATGGGTGTTTTTACCAAGTGCATATTTTACCTTTTAAAAATTCAGTTTTTATTCTAGAATAGTTTTAGATGTGTAGAAAAAGTATAAAGATGGTACAGAGAATACCCATCTGTCCCCCATAATTTCCCCTATTATTAATGCATTACATTCATATATAGATTTGTTACAGTTAATGAACCACTATTGATATTTTATTCTTAACTGATATCCATACTTTGAGATTTCCTTAGTTTGTACCTAGTGTCCTTCTTCTGTTCCATCCAGGATATCACAATACAATGAGTAGTCGTGTTTCATTAGCCTTCTCTTGGCTGTGATAATTTCTCAGACTTTCCTTATTTCTGATGACCTTACCAATTTTGAGAAGTTCTGATCAGGTAGTTGGTTAGGATATCCCTTGATTTGGGCTCATCAAATGTTTTTCTCATAATTAGACTGATGTTATGGGTTTTGGTGAGAAAGCCAAGTGTATTTTTATTTTTATTTTTATTTTTTTTAAAGATTTTATTTATTTGACAGACAGAGTTCACAAGTAGGCAGAGAAGCAGACAGGGAGAGAGAGAGGAGAAAGCAGGCTCCCCACTGAGCAGAGAGCCTGATGTGGGGCTGACCTGAGCCAAAGGCAGAGGCTTTAACCCACTGAGCCACCCAGGCACCCCCCAAGTGTATTTTTAAATGTAAGTGTTTTATTCTGTATTCCCATTTCATACTGTTGGTATTGTTTATGTTTGTGAAAGTACAGGTTAAGGTCTTTTGGAAACATGGATATTAACTGCACTGCTTACCATAAAGTTGTAAGTAGATCATGTAACAAAGTTAAATTTTCCAAAGCAAGGAAATTCTTAACTCTGGCACAATTTTGCTTCCCTTTGGAGAGTCAGACTATTACGAATTTTCAGTGGTGGTTTCCTGACTTCTCAATCATAAATATACAGGACTAGAAAAGACCAATTCTGGTTCTCAGGAAGCTGTGTAGTATAAAACAGTAGTTTTCTAACTCGTGGGTCATGAAAATCTCTGTTCAAATGAAATCTTGCATGGCGCCATAAACAAATAAATAAAAAGCAAGACTGGTCTGATTGAAGCAGTGCAGAGACTAAGCAGCAGAGGACTTACTTAAAGTATAACTGCAAATCCTCATGTCTGATAGATTGGTAGAAAGAACAGGGAACAAAAATACCTATTTCACATGATTCATATGAGGCTTCAGTAATATGTAAAGTGTCTGGTGTTGTGCATTTATGGCACATAGTTGCTCAAGAAATATCAGATCCATTCACAAATTGTAATTTAGTGACTGTATCTTTACTCTGTCATTTGAATATGTCCCTGTATCTTTATGACCATATCTGTGTATTAACTATCTATATATTTGTGTGTGTAGGTGTATAACCCAAAGAAAATAAAATATTTATAATGGTGAGGATATGAGATAATTGCATTTAGTAATTAAATTTTATATTGTGAAATTGAGGTAATTACTAAGAGTTAATATCTAAACAGATAATAACCCAATGAAACTGTGTAAAATATTTTCTGACATCTAGTATATACCATGCTTTAAAATGCTTTCCCAAACAAGACATGAATATTGTGTTGGTGAGAGGTTTTAAAAACTACTGTCCCCATATATCATATTACATTGACAATATTATAGAGTATCTTGTCAGTCAGACTAATTCAATTATTACGCTATATTTTCTAATAATAAAAAAAATTCAAGTGTTATCACTGTCTAGTTTGTATTCCAGGAAGAGGTTAGGAGTAATAGAGCTTAGAATGCAACAGAAAATTTACACTAGTCTGAGCCATTAAATCAGAATTCTAATGTACTCCACTGTGTCAATGTTTGACACAAATTTTCCCTTAAAATGAACAAAAATGTTTAAATGATAACCATAACAGTAATAATTTGTCTTTGGTGTTTGGAGTACTCATGAATCTAAATAATAAATTTTATGAAATTAAAAGGTCTTAATTACATTTGGTTATAGGTGGATGACTAATAAGTTTTTAATGTGCTCAATTACTTTATGTTTAGTAATTAATTGCAATATTATAAGGCATTATGTTAATGATAATATTGCAATGGACTTTAAAATATTTTCACATCCATGTAAGGTAGGAAGTGAAAACAATTGCTTGTCCAATTTTATAACTGCATAAGCAAAGCAAGGAACAATTGGGTAACTTTGGTGGATCACAAGGATATTCATTGGAGCAACTGAGTGTCCTAAATCTTGAGTCAGTAACATTTCCATTGGAGAACATGGCTGGTTTTGATAAATCTATTGTATTTATAGTTTTAAAATTTGTTTTGTCCCTCTTTACATATTTAACCGAGTGTTCTCTTTTCTTTTTCTGAATCTTCCAAGTCGTTTCAGTTGGATAAAATTCAATATCTAATACCTTTGGATTTGAAGTGGCAAATTTTTAATGTGTGAAAGAACGACAAAGTGAGGTGATGCACTATTATGTGTTTAGTTGAAGTTCTGGGTCACTGTCATATTGGTCGGAGTTTTACCCTTTGTGATTCTGTGCAATTATTTTTCTGCTGAGTTTATCCTGGGTCCTGGCCAGTGCATTGCCTATGTCCTTCTTAGTTCACAAGTCAAAAGGCAGTAGAAAAACCACTGTCAAGCCACAAATAGTATACTTTGTTTTATTACTAAAACCTGAATATATTGGGAGTTTATTTGCTATTTCGTAGAGTATTGGAGATAGCTAGAAAACACTTAAATGACTGACCTATAGAATTAACTAGAAAGATAGAGATGATGGCAAGATACACTGTGTTATTTTTACATCAGTTTAATTAGGGGAAGCTCATATACAACACTGACATCACTAGACTTCTCTGGGTTCCTGGATATCATTTAAAACTGAATCCATATCCGAAGACCAGATCCTGCTTCAGGTTGCCTTTGCTGAGCTACAATCTTTTTATTAAGAAATTACCATTCCAGGCGTGGCTGGGTAGCTTAGTCGGTTAAGTGTCTTCCTTCAGCTCAGGTTTTGATTCCAGGGTCCTGGGATTGAGCCCCACATCATCCTCATCAGGCTCTCTGCTCATCAGGGAATTTGCTTCTCCCTCTCACTCTATCCCTCACATCCCCCCCCACCTCCACTCATGCTTTCTCTCTCTGTCAAATAAATAAATAAAATCTTAAAAAAAATTACCATTCTGTCTGGCCAGCATCTCTTTTTCCACAAGTCATCCCTGTTCCTTTGCCTTATTTTCATTATTTTAATGTGACGGTAGTTATTCACAATCCTTCATATGACATATTTCAAGAAGATGGTGATGTTCAGGGCATATTTTTACTGACTTCTGTCCTCTGTAATACTTCTTGCCATCTCTGAATTTCCACTGTCATTCATTTTTACTTTTCTGGTGTGCTTCTTTTTGTCCCATGTGATAGTTATGCATGTGTGCTTGTTTTATCTTCTCTATCTGAACACATACTCTGGTAAAAGAACAAGAGTTGTGATTCACCTCTTGTTACCCGCACTCCTGGTCTGTTGCTCAGTGTTACATAGAGAGTCAGTGAACATTTACTGAAGTAAATCTTTAGACTATCACAGAATGACATCAGAAAAACACAGCTCTTGCTTCATATCTCTGAATGTTTACTATTACTCAAATCCTACCAAAATTACTCAACTCAGAGCAGGATGGATCTCTGTGTTGGTGTGTATCTTTTGTTTTTAGTGTGGGCTGTATTTTTTTTTCCTCTCTTGGATTTTGTGCCTTCTAAGTATTTTCAACCTAGAGACTTTTCTAGCTTTCTGGATGTTTGCAAAGGCCATTGTCTACTTAAATTTATCTGCTTCACTTTTCATTGTTCTGTGTCATTTTCTTCAGCTTTTTGATAGTTTATATAGCTTACTAACTGCACGATGTTTAAGGTGTTGAGGTGTCATTTGTAGGCTTCATAAAAGGAGGTCACAGAGAGTTCAGAAATGTTTAGAAAAGGGAAGAAATCTTAGGAAGGTTCTTCTTGAGGTTAGCAATTTAGAATCTCTTCATTGTTTGCACTCAGAATGCGATATGTGATGCTAAGATTCTCTGTTGTGAATCAGGCTAAGGAAAGTGAAAAACCGGGGAAAGTAAGGGGTATCATATTTAAAGGAATATCTCAAATCCCTCGAGCCCGAGTTCTTTAAAATGTGTGTGTGTGTATGTGTGTGTAGATTTGTGGTAATTTTAAAATGAAACACTTAATTGAGTTTGAAAAAGAAATTTAAAGAAAAGAACAATAACAGAAATTTCCATTGCGCTGCCTAAATTTATTGCTCACAATTGTGGAATATATTTCCCAAGCCATAAAGACATGAAGGAAGAGCTTCTGAGTCATTATTCCCTTTCTTGTTAAGGCCGGAGGGAAGTAGAATTTAAGATTGTCATTTATGCATCTAAACATAACTATTCTAAAGGTTGCCAGTCAGAGTATCCATTGAGAGGAGAGAGAGAGGGGAGACGGAAATGACCAATAGCTGGCTTCTGGCTGGATAAAACATTTACACATAACTCCTGGCTTCCCCTCAAGTGGAGCTTTTGCGAGGGATTTATAGGTCAGATAGCTCAGCAGTTTCAGCCTGCTGCCCACTGTACCTTAACAAAGCTTGTGCGTGTTTGTACAGCTGGACTGGTAGCTGTGGGAGTCCCAAGAATCCCACAAGGCCTCGTCCTTTTACCTCCCCTTCGCCATTTACCAGCACACAAATACATACAGAATGAAACTGTCTGACTAGCAGGTTAAAGGCCCACAATTCAAGCCCTGTTTATTTTCTTTCCTTGATTTCCTGCTGCTACAGTGAGTAAATGGTATTTTTCCCCCTTGCTTTTTTTTTTTTTTTTCTTTCTTTAAACCTGTTTGTCTGTCAGTGTCTGGTAGAGAATGAAAGAAATACCGATATTTTAACATAGTTTATGGAATTTGTTAGTACACTTTGGTGTACTATTCTGAATCTCTCCTTCTCTCTCTCTCCCTCTCCCCCCACCTTCCTCTGACTACCCTTTCCATCCCCCACACACACCTCTGTCTCCTTTCTCTCAAGGTCTTTCCATTCTCATCTCTTTCTCATATGTTTTTGGGAAAGGAATTATTTACCCAAAGGAAGGAAAAAAAAACATCCCCAAACTCTTCAAGTGTAACTTCACCCCAAGGAAGGGTGTTATTTTAATTACTGTTGAACCCATTCTGTGGGGAGGCCTGTAAATGCTTGATGCAGCTCAGAGAGTGGCAGTTAATATGCCTTTTGAATCAGTGCCACAAACTACAAAGACTGCCATCTGGGGAGGTATTACGTTTGTAAGAAAAAAATAGTTGAGACTTTTCTTTAAATGAGCTTGTAAATTCCAGTCAATCTTAGGTTCATTTCATTTTTTTCCAAAAAAAAAAAAAAAAGTCCTCCCATATGAAATACTTAAAATCATATTAATTAACCAGAAAAGGAACAGCAATTCTGAATTTCAGTGAATATCACTGTAATTCTAGGTTTGATCCGCGTGTTTATATTTTGGAATTTTTTTTTTTTTTGTCATCCCAATAGCAATTTCATTAAACTCTTTGCATTGGAAAAGAATTAAATTGATGAAGAAAAGTTTGTTTACCTGTTTTGTATTCTTAAATTATCTTGTTTCTTCATACCAAAAAAAAGTTTTAATTAGAAAGCAAAAATAGTTAATTCTGGCACTTCAGTCATTCTTCATCTCCTGTGACTGTTTTGGCAAATGACACAGAAATGGAGGAATATTGGGAGTTGGACAAAGCTGATTAGAATTCAGGTCTCTGAGTGTAACTAGCGCACTGTTCTGAGACAAGGCATGAAACTTCAGCTTCATCTGGAAAATGGGAAAAATGGTACTTTGCCAACTTCCCAGGGTTGTTGAGGGAATCAAGTGATATGATGGCTGCCAGAGTGCTTTATACACGGAGACATTTTATGTAAATCTAAAATAGTATTCTTTTTTTGAAGTTTTAAATTATTCTTGATAGTTGAACTTTTCCTTTCTTTTTTTGGGAGAATATTTTCATGGCAAATCCATCATTACTGGCAGATGCAAATTCTAAATTTCAAGGAGACGCTAAATCAGATGTAAATTATTTTTTAAAAGTAGTGTTTGCATGGTATCTTTTAACAAATTATAGAGGTACCTGAAATATAATGGGAAAAAAACATGATTATTTTAATGGTAGATCCTATTGATCTCATTATAAATATTCAGGAGAACTTCCTATAATCTTATTTCAAAATACTCCAGGATGCTTAAACTTCACACTCTGTTGACATTTTAAATTACTTAGCAGGAAACCTTCTGATACTTATCCTTCCATTTGCTAAAGTTCCTTAGTTCAAAATCCCCTATGGAATTGCAAACTTCGAGGCACTGATTTAGTAAGGAAAATACACAAGAAACAGGCTCTGAGCAACATTGGACTTCATGTAACACCTTTGCTATTAAGGACTATTAGAAAGACATTTTAAAAAAATCTACATATTGCATTGAAAACTAATTCTTACTACTCTGAGAGAATAATGAACAACTTTTCACTCAGGAATTTTTCTTCATTTAATATTTGAATTATCATATGGAAGATATTTTTCAGTTTCCCCCCTCTCATCTCCTTTCCCTTCCCATCCCTATGTGATCCCTGTCTATGGTAGTCTGCATGTAAAAAGTAGATATCTCTAGAACAATGTTTCTGTCCATATCCACTTTCATTTTTAAAAATTTTTCCATGTCCACTTTCATGTCCATTTACATATCCATAACCACATCCAAATCCATCCTTTGTCTAATAAGAATAGGAGGTCTTCCTAGAATATTTATTCTCATCATTTGGATTCCATTACAATCAAGGCGTTTTCTTTAGCTAATAGCTTTTGGTCAAAATAAATATTTTATTCTAGCATAATTAATATTCTTCAATTTGAAAAGTCTAGTAAAAACATTTAGTCTATTGTTATTTCCCTTCAAATTTTTATCTGTTTTTTCATTTATTCCTTCTCCTTCCCTTCTTTTCTGTTCCACCTGACATTTTACCAATCTTTGTGCTAAATCTTTATTTAAAAAAATAAAGCTTTAATATTCCTATGTGATGGATCAACTTAGGGCTTTGTACTCATTGTGTTCTCATCATTCTGTGAAGCAGAATCTTTGTGACAGAACCACACTGTTCTTGCACGGTGGAAGGCACTTGCATGGTGGAAGAGGTAGTGGACACTGAAAGTATCTGTTGCTCTCATAACATTTCTGCAAGGCTGACTAATTTGCTAATTGTGTGAGATAAATTTACGTGGTTAGGCCCATAGTTCTTATAAGTGCCCAGCATTTACCTGTTCTTCAGCTGTCCTCTTTATTAGTTTCTTACTCTAATGGATTCCAAAACATCCTTGAACAATCTGCTTAATAAATAAGAGGAGGTTGTTGTAACTGAATAAGCAACTTCTAGGTTCAGACCAGCAGCTAAGTACATTTTTTGAGTGCCTTGGTTAAGGAAGCATTTACATTCAAAATCTTTAATGAGTTTCTTAACTGAGGCAGAAGATGCAATCAAGATGTGTTTCCCCTGTGAAAAGTGGAAGATTGCTGTAGAGTATTAAAAGTTGAACAGCTGGCCACTGTTTATGAAAACAGCCAGGCTCTTATCCATAATACAGGAAAGTGAGTCAAAAGCCAAAGTCTCCTGTTTTTTAAGATACAGCTGGAAGATTTTCAGAGCTCGGGGAGAATTTTAAACATAGGGTAGACATATCTTCCCCCCACCCCTTGTAAATATAGGAAAAAGAGGAATAAGAAAATATCTTCAGGGTAAAATATCTTTATCAATTCTACAATTTATATTCTACCAAACACATGTATCTCTTTTGGGAAAAAATATTTGGTTAACTTTCACCAGAAATAAGAGCAGGTGACTTATGTAACCACTGTATGAAAATAAGAGGAAAGTTAATTAATTAAGGTAAAATGGAGGTAAAAAGTATAAAACAAACAGAGCTTAGAATTAGTTTTAATTCCTTTACAGTCTCCTTACTGAAGCCAATTCATGACTTCAGCTGAAGATACTTTTTCATAGTATAATGAAAAACTTTCTTAATCAATTCTTTGGAATCCTGGCATCCTATCTGTTGTATTCCAGATTCACTGATTTTTATGGCCAAAGAGATTTACTCAGAAAAGAAGCTCTGGATGGGGAAGTTAAGGAGGACGTAAACTGAATGCTTTATCTGTATACTTTCTAGTCATCATTTTAACTTTATCCCTTTGGGTAGTAAATATCTATCTACTGGTAGAGAAGAATTTCTCCTATCTTCAGCACGAGTAGGAATCAGAGTTAGAGAATTTGAGGAACCAAGAAAAAAAATCAAAGTTAAAATACAATTCATTCTACATATGAACTTCCCTCTACTAGGCAGTTGTATTTTGGAAGTATCTAGATGACCTTATTTTAACAGATGACCTAAGACTCGCAAAACAAAACAGAACAAAATAAAACAAAACAAAACAAAACGCCTTGTCCAACAGTTAATACGAATTTGTTCAGAGCCTTCCCCATGCATAAAATCTGTAAGTGCTTCATTTGATGCTTTTATTTCTCTTTTAGAATGCTACTGAGTTCTGATAAAATGATCACAAGTTTGGGCAAGAGAATTTGAACCTTTTGCACAAGAGATTTTGAACCTTATGCATGGAAAAGTGAATATGCATTTATACATTTTACAATGAAAACTGTTCAAGTAGGTTAAAGTTGAACTTCAAAGAAATCAAAATGAAATACAGCATGAGATAAACAATGGTTTTTAAAATTTGTACACATATCCTACATCTAGGTTTCAAATAAATCACATTAGTTAAATTAGTTGTTATTTCATTTATTGTCATGCTAAGCTGCTTATAAAATACGCTATAAGTTTATCATTTGTCTTTTTATTGCTTTTTTTGGGAGAGCGGTTTCTAACCTATTATTAGAATTATTAGAATTCTCCAAAGAGGATGACCAGTAAAGCTAAAGATTTGGATTGTCCCATGAGTAAAAACAAAACAGAAAAACTCCTTGTATAGTCATTAAGTCTTGTATGATATGAAGCATTTACTTCTTTTCCTTGTTTTCACTTTTTCTCCCTGTAGCAAGCATTCTTTTAGTCAAAATCAACATGCAGTGAATTCTGGTTTCCTAATACCTAGGGTGCTTTCAGATATAAAATAAATGCTTTTAGTCTGAGCCAGTTAAACAGAAGCCTGGACATACTGTGGGGTGGGTAGGATTCCGATGAGAGGGAGAATAGGTGAACCCTGATATGAGAGAAAACAGTTCTGCAGCTTCAGGAAAGCCAGGGAAAGCTGGAGGGTTAGGGGCTGTTCTAGGAGCTCAGTGGTGGCAGGTGCTATAATGGAAGTGGCTCTGCCAAGAAGCCAGGTTGCATCTCACAGCAAGTAAGAAGAGCAATGGGTTGTGAGATCCATATGCTCGGCTTTAGCCTTTTGGTCAGAAGAAGAAATGAGGTATCACAATGGCACACATCAAGGATGTCCATGATCCTGTTTTCTTTTTGTCTTGGATTATACTGCACTGGGCCATCCTCAAGGTCATGGGCTCTTTTGATACCCTATTAGTCTAACTGTGTTCTGAGCCTTAAATGTGGTCAAAAGCCACTGAAGAAATAGCATCAACATTCAACAGAATCCATTTCTACCATGGAGACATAATGTAAGCTATTTATATTGTGTGACACAGATTTTGGGTGGAAATACTTGCTAATAGCAAGCAACTTTTAAGACTATAATTTATATGTTCCTTTAATCCTTTTATACTCTGCATAGGTTAGGTTAGCTCTTTGAGCAATGTTTGGAAGAGGAGATATGTGATATGGATGTTGAATTACTAGCAGTGATGGAGAACAGCAGTAACTGAAGTGATTCCCAAACAAAAGGCAATTAGGAAGACATATTTAATATCACTGTCATATCATGATAAGCAGAAAACCAATTTATCAGTCTACGTTAGTATAATTTTTTTAAGATATTTATTTATTTGAGAGAGAGCAAGAGAGCACGTGTGTGAGCCAAAGGGAGGTACAGAAGGAGAGAAGAGAAAGAATCCCAAGCAGACTCTGCTGAGCACAGAGCCCAAGGCAGGTCTCGATCCCAGGACCCTGAGATCATGACCTGAGCTGAAATCAAGAGTCAGAGGCTTAACCAACTGAGCCACCCAGGTACCCCTACATTAGTATAATTATTAACAAAATTAAAATCAGCTTTAAAGCCCGCTGATCTTTATAAAACCTACTGAAGGATTGGGGTCCCTGAGTGGCTCAGTTGGTTGAACATCCTAGATTTCAACTTAGGTTTTGATCTCAGGGTGGGTGGGATTGAGCCCTGCGCTGAGCTCTGCATTAGGGTCAGAGCCTGCTTAAGATTCTCTCTCTTCCTCTCCCTTACCCTATTCCCTTTCTTTCTCTCCCTTCCTAAAAACAGAAAAAAAACAAAAACAAACAAACAAAAAACTATTGAAGGATTAAAAACATATCAATACACAAAATAGATGACTTTTTTTTTTTTAAGAGTTTATTTATTCATCTGAGAGAGAGCATGAGAGGGGGGAGGGTCAGAAGGAGAAGCAGACTCTCTGGCGAGAAGGGAGCCCAATGTGGAACTCGATCCTAGGACTCCAGGATCATGACCTGAGCCGAAGTCAGTTGCTTAACCAACTGAGCCACCCAGGCAGCCAAAGTAGATGACTTTTATATTTAGAATAATATTACTTTTCTTAATTATGGCTCTTTCTCATGGTACTGGAAATGTATTTTATGAATTTGTATGCACTCTGGGTTAGGTCTGTGAATAACAAGTGTCATTTCTAAATATACTTAATAGACAAGTCAGTTCTCACTTTACTTAAAAGAATCCCATGCTGGGATATATATCTTTGATCCATTAGAACAGGCATGGACACCAACTCCTTTCTAAATAATTTTATTTGTGGATCTGGCTTCTAATCTTTACCATTTTGTCCTCGCCTCCATCTCAGGCCTGCGTTGCTGACATTATATACTGGTCTATGAATTTGGGTTTTATCCTCTTAAATAAGAACAATACCTCTGTTTAACTCCAGCTGAATAATTTGGGACAGCACTCAATAACCAATGGAGAAAGATTAATTTCCACCTGGCACTGCAGAGAATTCTACTCTGTGGCAGAAAGTGTTGTTTTTGGAACAATGTTAGACACTCTCTACTATTTTACTGTGTCCTGACAGAAATTAATCATGAAGGTCTTCTAGAGTCATTTATCAACAACCTTCTGAATTCACACTCTTACAAACCACGTATCCTCAGTTGAGGGAATATGTTGCCTGTGATTTTGCATCAAAATGTCAGTGGAAGGCAGATTCTGACCAGGGTAAGGTTTTCGGAGTAACTGATCTGGGTGACTTGGACTTTGGTTAGACTTCTTGAGGCCTAGTCCTGAAAGAGGCTGAAAGGGCCTTCAGCAAGGCTCTGAGTGATCCACAAGATATGTAAACACAGATGCACCCGGCAGAGGCAAGCGGCCCAGCAAAGAGCCTGGGCCAAAGTCAGAGCAATTAGCACATTGTGAAACAAAGTGCCCAGGCAGGCCTCAGAAAATAAGCAAACTGTTGTGTGCATGTGGTTTTAAAGAAAGCTTCAAAGTAGGCTTACAATTTATGAGAGATCATGAAAATGGGAAGGATTCAATATGTTCTATTTATATCTTTTGCAAAAAAAAAAAAAAGTAGTTATGTACTACTTCTGTGTATCTATAATACAAAGGTGAAATGTCCATTTAAAAGTAGTGTGCTTTTAGTTTCTCTTAAGCATAGCCTGGGCCTTCGTATTCACTTTACCAAAAGCATTTGTTAAAAGGATATTTTAAAATGTGCCATACCAGTGCAGGATAGTAATAGGAGAAACTGGGGAGGGGTAATATATGACAATTGTTTTCCTGTAAACCTAAAACTGTTCTAAAAAACTCAAAGTATATTAGTTTTTAAAATTTTTTTTTTTAAGATTTTATTTAATTATTTGAGAGAGAGTATGAGCAGGTGAGAGGGACAGAGGCAGAAGCAAGCACTCCACTGAGTAGGGAGCCCAAGGTGAGACTTGATCCTGGGATTCCAGGATCATGACCCGAGTTGAAGGCAGATGCTTAACTGACTGAGCCACCAAGGTGCCCCAATTTTTAATATATTTTTAAAAGGATATTAAAACCAATGCCATAATTCATGATGAGATAACTCTACTGTCATAAAGTCAAGAAGTTTAGAAGGGCATTGCATGTGTTTATAATGGAAACAAATGAAAATTACATAACCTGTAGAAATGTATGCTTAAGAAAATGGATGAGACTAAAGTATATATGAAATATATTTTTAAAAATAAGAACCTGCCCTCTCTGGGTTTCTGTGTAGAAAAAGGCAGACAGAATTAATATGTGTGTGTGTCTGTGTGTATGTATATTTATATATATATAAATACACACATATATATGTGTATGTTTACACACACACACATACATATATCTTCTCAGTGTAGTGAGGGAAGAGTTTTGTAATAGTATTTTCAGCAATAGATAAACCTTTTTTTAAAAAGCCTTTAAAAATGACAAAGATATATGTATGAAAGTTGATTTTAAAAGTCCTCTTATTGAGTAATTTTAGTAAGTATTAATATATTCAAATTAGCCGTCACTGTGTGTTGGTATGGGTATGGGTAATGTGCATTTTCCAAAGCCTATTCCTAAAAAGAGAGAGCGAAGAGCACATTAACTGTAGTGTGATATTCTAGTGGAAACTATTAAAGGCATTTTTCAGTAGCGAGCTTTATTTTCAGCCATTTACCTTGTACCGCTTCCTTTCTCTAAATGTGACTTCTGATTTTACTTTGTCTGAGAAATAACAGCAAGTTGAGTAGAAAGTCCTGAGGTTAGAAAAAAAAAAAAAAAGTCTGAAGTTTTGACAAAGAAAAATATTCTTTCTAATTCTGTCAAGTGATTTCCAGGATCAAAATTTATAGGGGCCCGAAGTTCCTGGCACTACCTGACATAACTGGCATTATTTGATCTTTCTAACCACAGCACCCCAAACCTGAAACGAATCAGTCAGGTAGGATTCACATCTATTTTTTCCTTCAATGAAATTCATTGTATAGTAGCATATGTTTAAGGGAATGTGTGAGTTTTATTGCAGGTCAGAAAGGCTGCCGTTCTAATCTGTGATTCACAAAGAAAACAGAGCACACAAAGACCAGGGCAAAACGGCTGGGTTGGAGATTGGAAGGTTCCAGTGTGTAAACCATATTCCAGTCTGATATGTGTGCAACAATAGGGTCATAAAAATGAAAACACTCCGTGTGGATAGGAGACAGTCTCTGTTTTAGGGCTCTTACTGCTTTATTTAAAATTTGTTGGTCAGGTTCTTTCAAGGCTAGAGTGATTCTGAGTGTGGTGCTTTGTGAAGTGCATAAACCATTTGTGAACTCAAGGGGAATATTAAATATATTTCACGTGCCAAGAAGTTAATCAGTCAACCACAGATCCTTATTCAATGTGATTTATTGAACACCTGCCATATTAGAAGAGCCATAACAAGCCAGGTGGTGAACTGAAATGGCAACACTGCCCTCAAGGTGCTTATGATCAGAAGAA